GTTGTCACCACGCAAAGTCTGGAAGGCTGGACCCCCTTGGGAGAGGAAATGGTTCCTCTAGCACAAAGGGCTCCCCTGGTAAGACTGAGTGGAGACCACCTGGCCCTGCCCTCACAAAGCTCCCACCTGCACACAGTCCTGAGCACAACCAGCGTGGAAAGGCCTAAAACAACTTCTTTGCAAAAGCAAAAGCAGTGCACACTCCATCCGGGGTCTCCTGCATCCCAGCGTGGGGTTTATGATTTCTTCCCTCTGTGGGGTCTTTGCTTCCTCTCTCTCCTCTTAGTTCCTCTATAAAGCTACTCTATTCCTCTGTCTTTCTCCTGAAAATTGTTTTCTTCAAGAACAGATAACAGCCCTAGGAGCTGGGTGGAGGTTAGGGCTGACTTCTTGGACCAATCCTGGTCTCATTAGGCACAAACCCCGCCAGCAACAGGACAGTGGGGTGACCAGAGAACAAAGGGGGACTGTTTGTCTCGGGCATGGGATGGAGAATCTGGAGTTTTGATCCCAAGTAGGTCCATGAACAGCCGGTGGGGTTTGAGAGAGGAAAGAAATTACACTCTGAGGCCTTCCAATGGGGTGGGAAGTGGAGGTATCCCTCCCCCCCACACCCAGGTGGTAGGAGGAGCTTGAGAACAGGCCGGAAAATCAGGGCCTGGTGACTCACTGGAGCAGCGCTTCCTGTTTCTTTTCCATTTCCTGGTGGCTTGTCTGCAGGGCTGGGGGCGGGGTCAGGCGTCACAGGAAGTCAGACCCCTTCAACAACTCTGGGCTGGGTAAGTGGACCACGGGTCACCAATCTTTGAATTTATCCCTGCCTTTATCCTTCAAACTTGCCTCCACTGCTCCCTCCCTTACATCCCCCCCATATGGACTCCTGAGGGTAGCCCCCCATTCCCACCCATTCCTCCAACAAACACACGCACACACGCACAAGCACACGTGCACACACACGCATGCACACACATACACACACACACAGAGCTCTGTGCCTTCCAGAGGTTTTGCCACTGGAGTGTTGGGGGGGAAGGAGGTGAGGGGGGGGGTGCAAGAGAGGGGATCTTCCAAAACTCCCCTGGTCCTTAGCAAGGGTCGGCCTCTAGGTCCTTATCCTCACACTGCACCCACCCCCCACTCCTCTTTGCTCCTTTGGAGCCAGCCATCAGTCCAGGAAAACACCTCCCTCATCCCCCCCACTTTCTTCACTTATATCTCTGCCAGGTCAGGAGGGCAACAACCTTCCCCTCCATCCTCACCCCCCACAACCCTTTCTTCTTTGCTTGTAATTTTGCCCAAGAAGAATTTTTGTTGGGACCAGGGAGATTGTACAGAGTTTAGGGCATGTGGCTTTGAGCCCTGGTACAGCTCCTTGCCCCTCAGCATCACTGGGTAAAGGCCTGGGAGCTCCTCCACATCATCTGCGTGGCCCAGATGGCCCCTGGCACCACTCTGACCTGCTGGCCCAGCTGCCTGTGTCTCCCCAGGAGGGTCCCCTGAGCCTTCTGAGCACTCTTGGGAGGCCCCGCCTCTTCAGAATGGAAGAATTTTGGGCTCTTTTCAAAGGGTTTCCAATGCACAGTTAATCTTTCTGGATGTTTCTGCTGATGCATTATATTGCAAGTGGGAGAAATGGGTTCCCTCAAGAAACAGCTCTCCTGGGTGTCTGCTAAACGCTGCAGGTCGCTTGACTCCCGGAGAGTCATCCCTAATATGTTAGTTGCAGGTGACTTAGGTACAGTGGGGAGTGTGGGATGGAGGAAACTTAAGAATGGGAGTGTTGCCACTTCTGTTTCTCCCACCTTGGTCAGCCTAGGAGGGTCGGGACTGGTGAAGTCAGCCACAAGCATGTGCATGACATGGACGTGGACACTCGTGACCCCCCCCCCCTCCCCAGCCCCACTACAGATTACATCCAAGTTCCACTTGATTCCACAGTTTGGGAACTTGCCCTCCCATTTCTCTTTCCACAGGAAGCTGTGACCTCAGGCTGGACTGAAGGTTAAGGTCAGGGTCTGGAATGGAGAATTAAACATGACCTCAGTCCAGGTTGTCAGGTTTGTCATTCATTCCTCCCAGAAAAGAAAAGAATTCAGAAAGCAGGGGCCAGAGGGATTGTACAGCCCGCAGAGCACTTGCCTTGCATGTGGCCAGACCAGGTTTGACCCCCAGCACCCCATAAGATCTCCAGTTCAGCCCAGAGTGATTCCCTGAGTTCAGAGCCAGGAAGAAGTCCTGAGCACTGCAGGATGCAGTCCAAACAACAACAACAACAGCAACAACAACAACAACAGCAAGTATTTTAGGAAGGAGATGTGTAGTGAAGTAAGACATCTTGGGGACAATGAGTAAGACAATGAGGGAAGAGAAAGAGCAACACACGCAGAAGGAACCAGATGGGAGAGAGCAGAATGCACATTCCAAGCTAAGGAGTGGACATCCCCAAGCTGCAGGAGGCACTCCCTGCCTTTGCAGTGATAGTCTTATAGGGCTTTGTCCAGTGGCTCCACTTGACACTTTCTATGTCCTTAAGAAATAGCATCAACCAGGGGAAGAGGATGATGGAAGAAAACCACTGGAACCTTTTGTGGTCTTCTTTTCTAAGTTCACAGCCATTTGTCTGCAGGAGCTTCTGCTCTCCTGAGGAGGTTCAGTTGATGCTAGCAGCCTCATTTCTGCATCAAAATAGGTTTCCAGCCTTCAGGCCTTTGGGCTAATTTGGCTTGGAGATACGACGACCTTTTGGATCCACATTGCAAGGGGCCCCTGTTTCCCTGCCTGGCTGCAGCAGGCACTGACCACACTATCTCCCTGGGGCCAGGCAGGATTCAAGGGCTCCTGTCCTCAGAGATCTGGGCACTCCTGGGGGGTCCCTCCCCTCCCTGTACCCTCAGCACAGATCCACACCATCCCTCAGAGGCTCAGGGAGGATTCTCAGCCCCTCATCTCAATGAAAAAGTAAATGCAATTGAAGTTAAGCGCTGTTAGCTGTTTGGGGCCTGGGGTTTCCCAAGCACAACTGTGGGGCCTTAAAAGGACTAGCCCGGAGGATCTTTGGCTTCCTGGGATTCACTGAGGGAGCCCATGTCTGTACACCATGTCCACTGTGTGTGTGTGTGTGTGTGTGTGTGTGTGTGTGTGTGTGTGTGTGGTGGGGGCCTGAGAGGTGGACACTGCATGGAGGGAAGTCAGTAACCCACTGGCCAATGGTCTCTGATAGCCCCTTTATCTCTGATGCCTTCCCCAACTGTGCCCTGGGCCAGGTCCTCCCTTTAGGCTGTTGACGTCAATGGAACCTTAGGCTGTGGTCTTTTTTCAGTCTCTTCAGGACCATCATGGCATCTGGGGTCGTGGACAGGGGCAATGTCTACTTAACTGTTGATTCTCATGTTTCCACAGTCAAGAAAGAGATTTATTGGCCACTAAGAAAGCAGGCTGGGATATGTTGGACTCAGGTCTTCAAAGTACCCATCTTGCCTGCTTGGTCACAAGAGGTTTCTTCAAAGAGCACAGGAAAGCACGTGGGCTGGTCCACAGTGGCATGTTCCATCTGATCTGCCAAGAGGAATAAGGGCTCGGCACAAAGAGGGGGCGGTAAGGTGAGGACGAGGGCTCTTGCCGAGATGCCGGTTGCTCCTTGTTTCTCTGGGGTGGTTCCATCAAGGGATTCAGGATGACAGTGGCCACAAGAAGATCCCTGGGACAAACATGTCTGATCACAGGCAAAGGTCGGCTGTCCTCTTCCCTTGCTGCTGTCACTTATTCTTTCCCATTCTCTCTCTCTCTCTCTCTCTCTCTCTCTCTCCCTCCCTCCCTTCCCATGTCACTAGCAGAGCCATGAATTTGGTTCTGAGCACTGAGCTGAAAGGCCAAGCTTGCCTTTAACCACTCACTACCATCGGCTGTGCCTCAGTATCCAAGACAGTGGATATCGGGTTCTGGACCACCAGGGTGCGCCCAGGACAACCCCACAGAGCAGCCTATGTATGTCCTCATTCTCTCCTCCGTGTCCCTGTCACGACCCCAACTGAAGGACTAAGGTCTGCCCTGGCGATGCATGGGGAGTCCTGGGTAGAGGCGCCCTTGATCCCAGAGGATGGTGAAGTGCGGAGTATTGCAGGGCGGAGCGGCTGGGAGAGGCCGGGCGGGGTGGGGACACTGGGCAGCCCCCCACCCCCGTGCCAGGTCTTCTATCACAATCGCAGGAAGATTCCCAGTCAGCAATCACAAGCGCCTACAGCAGCTCATCCTTGGCAACCCTCCCCTCTACACCCTCCATCCGGGCCCCCTCCACACACAGCCAGAGCCCGGTGGTGGTGAGTGTGCACATCTCGGGGAGCGGCAGGCACGAGGGTAGGAGCAGGATGACGAGCCGGAAAGGTTGGAAGCGGGGTGGGGTGCGAAGGCCAGGATGGGGCATGGGCTTCTCTGCAGCTCCAGGGCACCGGCGCCTGCCGCCTGCCGGGGCTGTTACTCTGAGCCCTCCTCTGCCCTAGGACACAGCAGCTCTCCACCTCCACGCAGAAAAGGAGGTCAAAGGGACACGCCCCTCCCCTCCTTCCTGGCCCTCAGCGGCCCCGCCCTCCTGCCCACCTCCCTCTCTGCCTGGGTCCTGCTCCGGAAGCAGCAGATTCAAGGACCAGCCCCAAGGTCCTTGAGCCTCGTCTTATCCTGAGCCCAGCAGCAGGAGGAGGAGGCGAGAGGAGAGAGGAATTCTCTTGAAGCCGGGCGTCAGCGTCAGCAGAGGGCCGGATTGGCGAAGCTCCCTCTGAGCCCAGTCCTCTGGCCCCCTCCTTCCAGGCCCTGGGATCGGGAAGTCCGGAGCTCCTTTGTCCAGGACTGGTGCGTCTTGCGGAAGCTGCAGCTGGTGTCCCTGACCGCACGCGTGGACACTGCAGTAGCGCCTAGTGCGGCAGGAGGGCGCGTTGAGTTGGGGGCCTCAGGGCTTAGGGGGCCACGGGGGCAGCACAGGGCCCTCTCTGACCTTACGGAGAACCCCTCCCCCTGTTTCAGATGGGGGGCTAGGGCACCCCATTGCGCCCCAGCGGGTCTGCGGCCACGTGCAGGAGCCATGGAGACAGCAGTGATTGGCGTGGTGGCCGTGCTGCTGGTGATCACAGTGGTCATCGCCTGCGTCCTCTGCTACTTCAGCTGTGACTCGAGGGCCCAGGAGCCCCAAGGGGGCCCAGGCCACAGCTTCACCGTGGCCACCTTCCAGCAGAAGGCGTCTCTCTTCAGCGGGTCCAGCAGCACGGCCCAGCCGCGGCCCAGTGCTCGGGACTTTTGGACCTTCATGTAAGGCCTTATGGCATTCCCAGGACTTGCTCTGTAGGTGGGTTCTGACTCACCCACCGCTCATCAGGCCATCCCGAGGTGCCCTCCTCTCTGTCTGGCCCATGTCCTGCCCTCCGGTGCCCAGGGGATGCCCTATCCCATCCTTCCAGGCTTGCTGCGTACTCTAGGACGGCTCTGGGAAGGAAGCGGGTTGGAGGGCCCAGAAGGCCCAGGTGAGAGTCAGTTCTCACCCCTGCAATCCTAGCTGGACCCTGAGTGAGGACCTGGACCTGGCATTGGGCTATGGGCTGATTCACATCTTCTGAGCACTGCAACTTCCCTGGAACTTACTGTGAATGGGTGCCATAGCGATAGCATCCTGCAGCACAAACTCCTGCAAACGGCTTCCTCCCCCCTCACTCACGTAAGGTTACTTCAAGGTCCTCGGAACTCCAGCCCAACCCAAAGGCCTCCGGGTTTTCACGGTGCCTCAAACAAGCCAGAAAGTCTGAAACCCCAAAATAACTGCTGTCTGGGAACAAGTGACTTATCATTGAAAATGTATGACCTTTTTTGGGGCTCCCAAGAACCAGGGTTGAAAATGACAAGAGTAAACAAAGGGAAAACTAAGAGTCATCAAAGCACAAGATGTTTCGACAAACAGAAATGCTGGGGAGAAGGCTTTTTCACTTATTTTGAGTGAAACTTTGCTACTATATTCTGACTGCTAATTTTAGAGCATGTGAGAGATTGGCGTGGCACTTGGAATGGCAGAAAAACCATGAGCAGGAAGAGAATCCCAAATAAAGTGATAATGTTACATTGAATAATAAAGGTCTTGTTTTACCACCAAGAAATGTGTCACTTTGGCTGTGTGGTGTCATGTTGAAAGAGTATGGTTGGTTTTATTGGTTTCTTTTTTTTTTTTTTTTTGGTGGGGATGGGGATTTGGGCCACACCCTGTGATGCTCAGGGCTCACTTTTAGCTGTGTGCTCATAGATCACTCCTGGTGCGTTCAGGGGACCATAGAGGATGCTGGGGGTTGAACCCTGGTCCCCCATGTGGCAAGGAAAGCACCCTTCCTATTGTAGTATTAGGAGTATTAGGAGTATGGTTGGAGGGGCTGGAGCGATAGCACAGCGGGTAGGGCATTTGCCTTGCACACAGCCGAACTGGGTTTGATTCCCAGCATCCCATATGGTCCCCTGAGCAACGCCAGGAGTAATTCCTGAGTGGAGAGCCAGGAGTAACCCCTGTGCATCGCCAGGTGTGACCCAAGAAGCAAAAAAAAAAAGCGTATGGTTGGAAGGGTAGGAAATGACATATTCCTGGTTTACCTGTCTCCATCCAGTGCAGAATGGCTGACTCACCCAGCACCTGCCTTTTGAGGTAACAGGGTTTACTCCAAGGGAAACTCTGGCCAGGGAAAGTCACCCAGATATGTCACTCCAGCCATGTGGCTGCACAGGAAGTACACTCAGGGTGAAAGACTTGGAGTACAGATGTGCAGAGATAGGCTGATGGAGAACAGAAAGGCACAGCCCCGGGACATGAGAAGCCCCCGGGACCGTGTCTGTATCGTGTAGAATCCTAGAGGCCTCCATTCAGACCTTCCCAGATGGACCTGGACAGTGGCTACAGGGAGGGCCTGGAGACTGAGTGAAGTCAAGGGCAGGGGCTGTGTTCTCAGAAAGGGAACACCAGAACCAAATTTGGAGAGTGAGATGTTTATAGCAACCGGCCTCTGAACGGAGAAAGAGGAGGAGCAGGGCTGGATGAAGGAAGTCAAATTAGGATATCTGTCCTCCACCTTATTGGGTCTCTGCATGCTGTCCTTATACCTCTTGCCATGGGTGTGACCTCAGGAAAAGCAGCTGCTTGTTGAGGATGATGTCTATCCTCAAGAAGCCCTGGGCAGTGTGATTTCCCCAGAACTCAGTGTCAGCCTGTTCTTAGAGGCTCCTTGGTCAGTTTGGGATAGGAGTTATGTTCAGGCACCACCACTGGGTTGGGGCGCCTAGTGGGCAGAGACGGCTATGCAAGGTGGGAGGGAAGGAGAGAGTGGGTCTCACCCTCTCTGCCCTCAAACTGAGTCAGAGACACTCAAGAAAGGCACCTTCAGCAGGACCCAAGTGGCAGAAAGCCAGGCCCCGGCTCTGCCCCTGGACTCTGTTCAAAGCTCTTCCTGGGTCAGGGCAGGTGGGATCTGCAAGTTGATATAACTGAATGCAAGGCAATACAGGGGCCCTATGCCATACTCTGTAGGTGATACACAATCTGTCCACCTTGAAGTCTTCTCCTTTGTCCACTTGACTCATTTACCTCCATCTATTCATTTCCATCCATCTACTTGACTGCTCATCTATTTTACATCCATCCATCCACCCATCTACCATCCATTTATTTGTCGATCCCTCTGTCCATCCATCCATATGTCCGTTCATCCATCCATCCATCCATCCATCCATCCATCCATCCATCCATCCACAAATCCACACACCTACTCTGTCTAATCTCTAATTCTTACTTCCCCAATTCCCATCCATTTCGTCATTCATTGTGTCACTCATTCACTTATTCTGTCAGTCACTCCCTCATTCAATAAACAGTGGCTGAGCACCAGGCCCTACGCAGGGAACATGGAGTCAACCAGACTTGGTCCTGGCACTCAGTGAACTCCCATGTCAGAGACCAGGAGAAGCTGCTGATAACACAGTTTGAGGTCTCAGGGCAGGGAGAACGGGGACACCTAGAGAAATCTGGAGGAGGGGGGCCTGGAACTGGACTTGAGGGAAAGAGGCTGTTTTAACATGCAGCATTCAGGGAAGCGTGTTTCAGAGAGAAGAAAAAGCAAAAGCAGAAGTTTGGAGAATATGGGACAGGAAGTAGGCGGTTCAGCTTGACCAGGCAGGAGAAGCCGAATGTGAACACCAGCACTCCTGAGAGAAGTGCTTATCGTCTCATCTGGCAGCAAGGAAGCATCAAAGGGTTGTCAGGTCCTGATTCTGGATGCAGATGCTGGCTCTGTAGTGGTCCTTGTGATTAGGGCACAGCTTAGAGGCTCAAGCTTCAGGAACAAGATCTGAGGAGACCCAGGCTAGGGACAGGGTGTGGGGTTGGGGGGTGTGGGAACTGTAATATAGGTAATCTAGGCAGGTGCTCAAGACCAGGACATGGGAACAGCCTGGAAAAGACCAAGGAGGAGCCACTAGGGAAGGGATGGGAAAGGGAGGGCGAGGGGAAGAAGTAGCAGGTAAGGCTGCCGGATTCAGTCAGCAAGAGTATAAGGATGTCAAGTGACTTTCAATTTTAGATCATTCAAGAAATATTATTTATTTTTATAAAAAGAAATAATTTTGATTTCTGTTTATAAATACCATCAATGCATCCCATGCAATACTTAGGGTCACAAACATATATTTCTTTTAAAATTAAATTAATTTTTTTTAATTTTTAAAATTGAATCACTGTGAGGTACACAGTTACAAAGCTTTCACGTTCAAGTTTCAGTCATGCAATGTTCCAACACCCATCCCTCCACCAGTGTACATTTCCCACCACAATGTCCCCCGTTTCCCTCCCAACACCCCCACCTGACCCCCAAGCCTGTCCTCTATGGCAGGCACTTTTCTTCTTACTCTCCCTCTACTTTTGGGCATTATGATTTACAGTACAGATACTGAGAGGCCATCAAAACACACACACACACACATACACACACACACACACACATTTCTTTTGGGAAGTGGGACTCTCAGAAGATGTGTGTACCATGCCTGTACCATGCAGCAGGGCGTTGGTTTCTTATTTTCAGGGCATAGGGATGGGCAGAGCAGCTTGGGGGTGTGAGGGGCCCTGCATTTCCAGTAAGGAAAGCCTGCCTGGAGCTCTGGCCACACAGGGAACAGTGCCCCTGCAGTCCCTGCCAGGGCTCTGGGCACACGCAGAGGTCCAGATGGCCTCTCTGGGCACAGCGCCTCTTGCCCTCTGCCTCCCACCTCCACCACAGGCAGGGGTCAGAGCAAGGCTATTTCTCTGGCCAACACAGTGGTCCTCCTGCTACCCCCACCCCACTGACAAGCAGCGCCTCGGTGTTCCTGGAAGTGCTGAGGGGGTGAGACCTCCCTGAGGGCTGCTGAGGGCCAGAGGGCCTGGGGAGGCTGTTGTCATCCAGCACCCACCCTGGCCTGCTCCTTCTCCTCTCTCTGGCCAGCAGCACTGATGCTGTTTCTCTCCTGGACAGGCTATATTCTGGAACCAGAGGCCTTAAAATAACATGTTTTCCGGAAAAGCGCCTTCCTTAGAGGAAACCGCTTGTTCCAAGGAGGAGAAAAGGGTCATTGTGCTTCTCTATATTCCCTCCCTCTAGGGCAGAACAGACACAGGCACGCATGCGCATCCACAGGCAGATGCACACACATATCAGATGTACACATGCACAGACATAGATGCACACACACATCAGTTGTACACATGCACAAATTCATACGTGAAGATGCACACACAAACAAGCATGCACACATATGCACACATGTATGCACAAACACGTATGCACACAGATATACCCATGCCAGATGGACATGCACAAACACACACAGGATGATGCATACACGCACAGGTGTACATATATGCACACACAAAAGCACACACAGAGACACACACTGGAGAGTCCATCGCATGAAATATACATGTAGCATGCTCACACTCACACAAATGCACCCACAGACATCTGTGCAGAGCATCAGAAGAGTGAAAGTTAGCACAGCAGGTAGGGTGTACGTGGCTAACCTTGCACGTGGCTAACTCAGGTTTGATCCCCGGAACTTTATATGGTTCCTCTGAGAACAGGAGTGATCCCTGAGTGGAGAGCCAGGAGTCAGCCCTGAGCACTGCTGGGCGTGGCCCAAACACAGAAACAAAAACAAAAGAGTGAAAGTGAAAAATAATCTGAACACCAGTCTAGGGGCTGACTCTGAAAATCCTGGCATGACCATAACATCATACACCAGACAGGCTTCTAGACAAAGAGGTCTGCAGTCACTCCCAAAGGGAGCAGGCACAGATCAGTGCATAAAAACTGAAGGATTTTAGAGAGCTAGGAAC